CTCCTCCTCCTTCTCCTCCTCCTCCTCCTCCTCCTCCTCCTTCTCCTCCTTCTCCTGTCTCCGTAGCCATTTTGGCTCAAGCCATTTTGGCTCAAGTCCGTAGCGGTGGCTCAGGACGAGAGTACTTTTTGGCGTGGGGAGTTTGCGGCCCCGACAGCGAACTGCAGGTGCTTTTTTCTGCATACTGCATTGGGGTTTTATCCCCCACCTCTTTGCCATCGCGTTTACGACGTATCCATGGTTCCTTGGTCTCGTGCCGAGAACGCTCAGCCGTGGAGGTGCAAGACCTGCCAGCGCAAGGACGGCACCCCATGGCGGAACTGGGCCACGTCGAAGGCCTGCGGGAAGTGCGGCATCCACAAGGGCGCTTGCTTCAAGGACACGGTCCCGCCCAACGGCCTTCCATCTAAGCGCCGCTCTGGTGCTTCTGGTGGGGGTGGAGGCGGCGGAGCTGGCGGTGGCTCCGACGCCCATTTGCGGCAGCGCATCGCTGATTTGGAGGCGAAGTTGGCCAGTCGCGGCGTGGGGGCCGACCTCGAACCCATGGCCATGGACTTGGACCCTGGCGACACTGTCGGCCCGCCTCTTGCGCGTTCCGCAGAGGCCCGCCGCGACCGCCTCCAGGTGCTTGAGCGGTAGATCGCGCACTGCGATGCACCAGGCCAGAGGTGCGAGGCTGTCTACCAAGAGCTGCGGGGCAAGCTCGTCAAGGAGCGCGACGAGCTTCGCCGTACCCTCGCCGAGTCCAAGCCCATCGATGTGCGGCAGAAGGACCTGGCCACCAAGATGTCCAAGCAGCGTCTGCGGATCGCGGCCTGCGATCAGGAGGTGGAGAGCCTCCAGGCCAAGGTCGCCGCCATCACCGCCGACCTCGACGCGGCGAAGCGCGGGGCGGCCGAGGCGCGGGAGACCATGCAGCGGCTGGAGGTCGAGAACATGGCCTTGGCAGCCCAGGTCCCCTTGGCGCCCGACTCGGCTACCCTGGACGCTGTCATCCCCAGGCTCGAGGTCACGATGCAGCAGTTCGGCATGCTGCTGCGCGGGCTGGGCGGCGACAGCGCAGCGGTCGAGTCCACCTTCAAGGACGCCTTGTCCAGGCACGTCGCCTCGCTGCGGGAGGCCCAGGCGGCACCCGCGCATGTGGCGGTGCCTGGCACGCCTGTGGGCCCTGCTGGCGCCCCTGTGGCCCCTGGCCATCACGCCCCTGGAGCTGAGGCGGCGCCGGCTGCGGAACCCGGGGCCGAGGGTGGCGCTGGCAGCGGGGGCGCGGCCCCTGGCACCCCGAGCAGCTTCTGCTTCCTGGGCGCTGCTCCCAACGCTGCTGACGTGCGGGCGTTTGGGGTTCGCAGTGCCTGGGGAGGAGTCCGAGGCCGCCACCATCGAGCGGGCCCGCGTCATCAACGATGCCATACAGAGCCAGGCGAAGCGGCTCAAGACGCAGGCGTCCACCGCTGCAGCGTCGGCGGCGGACATGTGAGCCCTTCCTGTCCTTGGTTTGCCTTGTCATCATGATGGCGTGCACTACTTTGGACATCGAGGTCGACCCGTTCGACGAGGTCGACAACGCTGCCGACTTTCTTGCGCAGCAACCGTTTTCTGCAGAGGTACCTTCTGCTCCTGAGGTGCACAGTCGCGCAGATCAGCTCGCACCGCTCAGTTGGGTGCCTACTTTCTTGGTGGAGGCCGAGGGCCTCGCCGCTGTGGTTTCTTCAACGTCTCCTTCGGTGGCTTTGTCGTTGAGGACCGCCGCCGGGGTCGCCGGGGCCGCCGCCAGAGCCTGCGGGACCACCTCCTGGGCCGCCGCGCGCGCCCCCGGGACAGCCGCCAGGGCTGCCGGGGCCGCCTCTCAGAGCAGCCGAGCTGAGGTGACACCAGGCATCACCGCCGCCCGCCTGGGTGACACCAGGTGCCACCCAGTAGCGGGGCCCGCCGCCGGGGCCTCCGAGGCCGCCGCCAGGGCCTCTGGGGCCGCCGCTGGAGCCTCCGGGACCGCCGCCAGGGCCCCAGGGGCCGCGGCCCGAGCCCACGGGAACGCCGCCGGGGCCGCCAGGGCCGCTTTTGGGCACAGCCGAGATGAGGTGACACCAGGTGTCACCGCCGCCCGCCTGGGTGGCACCAGGTGTCACCCACTCGCGGGGGCCGCCGCGGGGGCCTCCAGGGCCTCCGAGGCCGCCGCCGGAGCCACAGGGGCCGCCTCCGGGGCCGCCGGCAGGGCGTTTGTCGGCTCGCCGGTCTCGGCCAACACCTCCTCGCTCGGCCCGATGTTTGACTTCGTGGCGGAGGTGCCTCATGAGGTTCGGGTGCTGGCCGCGCAGGAGCACCGCATTCCTCAGGCCAGGCTGGGCGAGATGCAGAATCGCCTGGCTGATCTGGGCTGGCACGGGGCCTGGACGGCTGGCTTAGACACGGACGCGCAGTGCACAAGCAGTGGCGCCGCGGTGTTGGCCCCGTCGTTCGCGTCCCTCACCACGGCCCCTGGCCTAGCCGAAGGGACCTTGGTTCCTGGCCGCGCAGCCGCTGCTCGGGTCCACTGGGGCATCCCGCAGGGCATAGTCTGCATCAGCCTTTATTGTGTTGACTCTGTGGGCTTTGCGGGGCCCAACTTGGAGGTGCTGTGGAAGGTTTTTGAGTACTGCTGCCAGCTCAACGCCCAGGGCGAGGATTTCGTCATCATGGGCGATTGGAATATGGCCTCCGACGTGGAGGGGCTTCGTGACGCGCTGCTGTCGGTTCGTGCCATCCCCTTTGTCCCCGAGGACGCTACCTGCGTGCAGGGGGGGGCTCCATCATCGACTTCATGGCAGTGTCGTCGAACTTGGTGCCCAGGCTCGATCGCCAGGTGACCGTGCAGCTCGACTCCGACTTGTACCCGCATCGCCCCGTGCACTTGCGGATGCGGGGCTCTGATCACCCAGCCTGGTGCAGGGTGGCCGACGAGCCCAAGCCGTTCTCGGCGCTTCCCCCTCCTGGGTGCGCCAGGCCGCCCTATGACTGGCGGCCCCTTACGGCGGAGGCCAAGGTTGTCACGGAGTCCGACGGGCTGGTCCAGCTGTGGGACGCCGTCCTGCACGGCGTCGACGCCGAGCTCTGCGCGCGCTGGGACAAGGTCGGGCCCCAGGCTAAGGCTCATTCGGGCCGTGCGGGGACTATCCAGGTGCGCTGGCAACTTCTGCGATGGCGGCCACGGCGGCGATGACACTATCGCGACGGGTCAGTTCGACCATGGGTCTTGGCCAGGAGGTGGATGACTCACCTCCAGGCCGTTCGGCAGCGGCTGCAGGAGCAACTCGGCGGCCTGAAGCTGGCGGCGGCCATGTGCGATCTGATGCCCTGTCAGTGTTTCGGCGTCTTGCGGGAGTTGGAGGAGGCCCACCGCTGCCTGGTGAAGGTTTCGAGGCAGCGGGCGGTCTTGACGGCCATCGACCCGACAGTGGCCAAGTACCTGCAGATGGGCCCCATGCTGCTGGTTTCGCCGCACTTCGACTACTGCGTCGACCTGGTGACGCGGGTGGCGGACCAGAAGATGCGCGACGCCCAGGCCGCCTCGGAGGCGGCGTGGCGCGGCTGGCTAGCAGAGGCTTTCCTCCGAGGGGCGCGGGGGGCCCACCGTGCCTCCAAGGTCGCTCCCACGCAGCCCCTGCTGCAGCTGGAGGGGGATGTGCAGCCCTACGCGGTGGCCGACGCGGCGCTCCAGGAGTGGGGGGACGTCTGGTCCCACCACGGCGCGGCGTGGTTGCCCAGGCCGGCCGAGTTCGACCGGTGGGAGCTGCTGCCGCCGATCACCCTCCAGGACATGCGCGCGGCTACCTGGAGCTACTCGGACACCGCCGCCCGTGGCCCCACCCGCCTGGCGCCCAAGTCCCTTTACTTCGTGTCGGACGAGGGTCTGCAGGCGATCGCGCGGCTGCTGGAGGCTTGCGAGAGGTTGGGCACGTGGCCCGACGGTCGCGTGGAGACGGAGCTCGTGCAGTTGAGCAAGGCGGACGGGGGCAAGCGCCTCATAGCCTTACTCCACACCCTGACGCGCGTGTGGGGGAAGCTGCGCCGCCCCCTGGGGAAGCGGTGGGAGGAGACCCACGCGGCCCTTTGGGCTTGGGGCAATCGCTCCCGCTTCACCTCCAGCGACTCTGCGTTCGACCTGAACCTGGAGCAGGAGGTGGCCACCCTATTGGACGAGCAGAGCGGCACGTGGGTCAGCGACATGGCCAAGTGCTTCGAGCTCGTGGACAGCAGCCAGCTTCTCTTGGAGGCTAGGGAGTGCCACTTCCCCCTGCGGCTGGTGTGGATGATGATCGAGCTTTACCACCAGCCTCGCAGGGTTCGGGTAGGGCCCAGCCTGTCGTTGGCCATGCTGGTCTTCCAGGGCGTGCTGGCGGGGTGCAATCGCGCTCTCACGGCGCTGCTGGTGCTGATTCACCGCGCGATGGCGAGGCTCAGCAAGATGTGCCCCAACGTGCGGCCCCGGCAGCTTATGGACGACATTACTTTGCATTATGTGGGGCCTCGTGAGGCGGAGGCTAGTCAGCTCGAGGTGGCCGCCGTCGAGCTGACGCGCTGCGTGCAGGGCCTCGGCATGCGGGTCAAGCAAGCCAAGTCGGGCTTGATCTTCAACCGCGCGCGCTTCGCGCACCGCTTCCGGGCGCGGGCGCTGCAGATTGGCTTGCGCCCGAGGCGGGCGATGCACAACCTCGGCCACGAGCACCATGGGCCGAGGGCGTTCTGGCGTCAGGAGGCGGCTCGCGTGCTCTTTCTGCGAGGGGCCGCCGACTCGCCATGTTATCCCGCGGAGCGGGGCGCAAGGCGGCGCAGCTGTGGCGCACTGGCCTGGCCCCGTCGGTCACCCACGGCGCGGGCGTCAGCGGCATGGCGGACCATCGGCTTCGTCTTCTCCGACATACTGCGGCCACTCTGAACGGGTGGAAGCCTGGTTCTGGATGCACGGCCTACTTGCTGACGCATCCGAGCCCGCAGTACGACCCGATATACGACGTCTCGGTGCCGTTGATTTTGCGGTACGCTGGCTGGTTGTGGGACGGCCGCACCTCTGGCGCGAGGCTGCAGAGGGCCTGGGACGTGGCCCACGCCAAACTCGAGTCCACCACCTTCGGCACGGCGCGCGGGCCCCTCACATCCACTTGGCTGTCGCTGCGGAGGCTGGGCTGGGAGATGCTCTCTTCGGCCCACGTGAGGTCCGACACGGGCGAGGTGCACTCGCTCTTGCGCGTGCCGCCAGAGGACCTGCGCCACCATTTGATGAGGTCCACCGAGCGGTGGCAGGCGCAGAGGCTGCTTGGGCACATGCACTTGGCCTCGGGCACCGAGCAGGTGTGGGTCCGAGGCATTCGCCTAGGCTTGCGGGCGCTGCCGCCGAGGCAGCTGGGCGCGCTGCAGATGCTGTGGTCTGGCCGTTACCTGACTCCTGAGAGGCGGGCAGCAGTGGACGGCTACAGCAAGCTGCATTGCCGGGCGTGCGGGGCCGAGTACGGCAACTACGGGCACATCTGGTTGGGCTGCCCGAAGCTGCTGGAGGTGCCGCCTGGGAGTTCTCTCCCCCCGCTGCCGGATGCCCTCGGGGCCACGAGAGCCATGCTGGCAGAGCTCGGCTCGACGTGCCACTTTGACGACTTGGAATGCGGGCACGGTCTCCCGGGCGTGCCGCACGCGTTCACGGTGAAGGCTGCGGAGAACGAGCTCCCGACCTTTTTCTGGGGCGATGCCGAGGTTGCTGCGTGGGGCCCTGAGTCGTGTACTGATGGCTCGGGCTTCGAGTCCGCACAGCCTGAATGAACGCGCTGCGGGTGGTCTGCAGTCCAGATCGATGAAGACTTGTTGCCAGCTCGCGCGATGTACGGACCTCTCCCAGGCATCCAGACTGTCGGCAGAGCAGAGAGGTGGTCAGTGCTGCGTCTCGTCCAGCATGCGCCAGCCACCCAGCACATAGTGAGTGATCTGTTCAGTTTGGTGTCTGAGGGCTCGTCCTGGGACCCCGCCCTCGAGAGCTCCAGAGGCAAGCATGCCCGGATTTGGAGGCTCATTTTCGGGGCGGTAGGTTCCAGAGAGCCCCCTTAGATTTAGCTGGGTCCCAGCCCACAAGAGCCCCGAGGAGGCCCTCTCCCTTGGGATCTCTCTCAGGTGGTGGGTGGGGAATCTGTGGGCCGACTGGTTCGCCAAGCTCGGGGCGTCAGCGCACGCCGTGTCGTCTGTCCACGCAGAGTACCTCTCGTCGGAGCTCCAGCGTGCCTAGACGATCCTGAAGTTTGTCTCTTGGGCGGCAAGCCGAGCGGTCGATCTCGACCTCTGGCGCGATCCGCCCGGGGCCGTTCCCCGGCGTCCCCGTGCAGTCGGGCCGCGCGTTCTCAAGCTAGTGTCGCACGACCTTGTTCGCGTCGAGCCGACGATGGAGGTTCGGCGCCGCAGATGTTTGTGTGTTGCCCGCACTGACGGGCACCTCGCCCATCTTTTGAATGGCGAATGTAAGCCGCTGCCCACCCAGGCGTGGGCTGCGCGGTGTTTTTTCTCGAAGCCCGGTCTGGTGGTCCACGATTTCAGGGGTCCTGTTACGGGCCCGTGCGTGTCCGAGGCCCTGGCGGCGGCTGAGGAGGTCCTGGGGTCCGCGCCTGCGCCGCCAGGGGAGCCACCAGACGGGCTCGAGGCCTTCAGGGAGCTAAAACACGTTTTAGTCACCCACGGGACCATGGTCTGCTGCACCCAGTGTGGGGCCTCGTCGTCGGGGGAGGAGGGGTGGAGCGGACGCTCGAATCTGAATTCGAATTGTGTAGGGCCGTCTTCCAATCCCGCCACCAGGGCCAACCAGAAGAGGAAGGCCGACCTGGTGGAGCGGGGCTTTCACCCCAAGACGGGGGCCCCGTTGCCCCCCCGCGCCTGAATTTGTCCGGCATTACTTTCTGAGGCTTCGCCTCCCCCTCCCGCCTTACGTGGCTAGGGGCTTCATGTTTCCAGGGTTTTTCGGTTTCTCGGAGAATTCCTGCAGGCTGCTCGCCTCCTCCTCCTCCTCCTCCCCCTCCTCCTCCTCCTCCTCCTCCTCCTCCTCCTCCTCCTCCTCCTCCTCCTCCCCTTCCTCCTCCTCCTCCTCCTCCCTCCTCCTCCTCCCTCTTCCTCCTTCTCCCTACTCCCTCCACCCTCCTCCCTCCTCCTTCTTCCCTCCTCCTCCCTCTCCTCCTCCTCCTCCTCCTCCTCCTAATCCGCCTCATCGTCCTCCTCCGCCGCTTCCTCCTCCTCCGCCTCATCTCGAGCTGCTGCTCTGAGCGCACCTTTCGGTTCGACCCCGCGGCCGCTGCAAGCGACTTCGCCAGGACAATTGCCCCGCCCGCGCCGCCGCCCGCGTTTGGCGAGGCTGCAGGCGCTGTCTCGCCTGGTGTTGCTCCCCGCCGTCGCGAGCAGAAGCCGCGAGCCACCGCCCTCCACTTGCAATGGCTGACGTCACTGCGGCAGGCCAGTTCCGCGCACCGCACCTCCGCCCCAGTTGGTGGCGCCTCGGAGTAGGTCGTCGAGTTGTGGCGCGAGCTCGACGTGGTGAAGTTGGAGATTCGAGAGCTCCGCATGCTGCTCGCGTCCGCTGGGAATCTGAACTTCTTGGCAGTTGTTCATGGTTTCGGTGAAGATCCTCGGGTACCCTGTTGCTGCTGGTGTTCCTGGCTACCCTCGTGCTTCCTCAACTCCAAGCGCCGCGACGCGGCCATCATCAGGCAGAGCGGCATCGGCTACAAGCCCGTGCGGGCCAAGGCCGTGCTCCGGTGCTTCGACGAGAACCCTGGCAAGGCGATGAGGGGCTGGCAGGCGCCTTCGTCTCGCCCATGTGCAGCGCAATCGCCAGGAGGGACCCCATTCTTGGGGAATGCCCCTGGTGTGGTGCGCCGCGAGGAACACTGGACCACCTCGCGTGGGAGTGCGCTAAACGTGCCTGGCCGGCCTCCAGTCCAGCCCGCAGACGTGCTCCAGCGCAAGTTGTTTTGGCCGAAGGGTACACAGGCGGCGCGAGCAGTGGACGACACCATCTTCCGCTGGGCGTGCACCCTCGATGACCTCCTCCTGCAGGAGAGGCACCCTGCCAGTTTCGTCGTCCGTTCCGGCGAGCCTGCAGTCAGCTTGGCTTAGCGGACTTTGACGTCGTCCAGAAGTCGGGTGCCGTTGACAGCTTAGTACTGGCTACAGTCGTGCAGTTTGCGAAGGCCGAGGCACAAATGGTGGGTCCTATTCCGAGGACGGTAAGGACAAGGGCAAGGTCATCGGGAACGGCAAGGGCAAGGCCAAAGTGGCTTTCATTGCACCCCCCGGCAACCCTCCTGCTGCTCCTCTTGCTGCTAATTTTGCACTCGCCCCTCGTAGTTCTGGAGCTGTCCATGGCCGTTGGCTTGCTCCCTTTGCAGGCGCTGCGGGACTCGCGACACTTCCTGGAAGCATGAGCAGAAGACCGATCTTCACCTCGTCAAGCTTGCGGATCTCTTCAAGCAGAGCCGCACGCAGCAGATACCGCAGCAGGCCACGCAGACCGATCATGAGAATAATGCCAGCCCTCAAGTAGCAGATTTGCGAATGGGGCTTGGGAGTTTTGCCGCCGCACCTAGATTGGTCTGTCATCCTTCCCCCTTGCCTCGCTGCTGCCGCCGCCTTGGGGGGGGGGACGGGGCGGGGGAGGTGAGTAGGGAACGAAGGCTCGCAGTAATCCTTGAAGCCGCCTGCGGCCTCTCCCTCCAGACTTGGAGGGAAGCACGGGCTGTCAGAGGCTGGCACCGAAGCTGGCGAAGACCAGCGTGCAGAGCAGCCGCGGGGACGGCGCTTGCGGCGGTGCCTTGCCCGAGGCTTCGACAGGCTCGAGGACAGTGTCTGGCGCGGGGGACGAGCGGAGTTGTCACGGGAGGTCCGTGGCTCCGACCACTCCAGACATTGTCCACGTGTTCCTTGCCCCAGCTTCCACACCCAACGAAGCGATCATTTAGTCAATCATCGTCATCATCCGTCTCCTGTTCCTCCTCTTCATCCTCTTCCTCATCCTCATCCTCATTCTCTTCCTCATCCTCATCCTCTTCCTCCTCCTCGTCCTTCTCCTCCTCCTCCTCCTCCACGTCCTTCTCCTCCTCCTCCTCCTCCTTCTCCTCCTCCTCCTCCTCCTCCTCCTCCTCCTCCTCCTCCTCCTCCTCCTCCTCCTCCTCCTCCTCCTCCTCCTCCTCCCTCCCCTTCTCACCCCTCCCCTCCCCTCCCGTCATCTGCCTCCCTTCTCTTCCTCTTGCTCCTCCAGCTCTGGCCCGTCACCGCTTCGTGGGCGCGCTCCCAACACCCCATCGGGTTGTGCCAAAAATCACGGCGGGAGGTTGTTTGTCATCTTTGGCCCCTGGGGGCCCTCGCTTGGCCCAGGGACCTTCCGAAATCGATTCTGTATAAAGAACTGGTCCCAGGAAAGTGGTCGAGATCTCTGGGGGTCGACGTCGTGAAAAATACGACGTTGAGGATTTGGCTCCTTTTGCCTCACCCCTCCCTCTCTTCTGTGTCTGCCAGCGGGAGCGTTTAGTAGCGCCGAGGGGGGGAATGGCCCAGGGGGGGGAGGAGCATCGACCCCCAATCGCCCATTCATCGCCAATCGGAACCTGAATGCCCCACTCCGCCTAAGAGCGCGCAGCTTGCCTATCGAGGGACTATCGCCGATGCGTTGGCGAAGGACCGCCGACTCCAACACAGCGCTTCCCCTCCTCAGCCAGTCCCCCCCACTGTGCCCCCTCAGATGGTGGTGGGCGCCTCGCTTCCCAGAGGTCCGAGGAAGCGCAGATCTGGATTGGGGCGCGTGGATTGGCGACGGGGGTTCCATGCAAAATCTGCGAGCTCCGTCGCAAAATCAGGCGGCGCTGGCCACACCTGTCACGTCACCCCTGGGGGCGCGAAGATGATCGCACTGCCCGCGCCAAGGCCTGGGCCGCAGAGCTACCCTCATCCACGGGGGCGGCTTCGCGTAGGCGCGACGGTAGTCGCGTGTCGCACATCGCAGGTGACCCAGAAGAGGCTGGGAGGCGACGGACCCAGACATCCTCTGGTACTATTTTTCCCATCCGCGACCCCAGAGGTCTCGACCCTTCCCCAGGAGAGGTGGTTCTGCGCCACGGATATGTTTTTGATGGCCCCGGGGCCCGGGAAGGGCCCCCAGAGGCCGACACGCCCGGATTGGAAAAATCATATCGGCGGAGATCGATCCGTGGATTTCTCTCGCTTCGCAGGGTGCGCGCCCGGAGCACGCAAAGATTGGGCGTTGGGTGGTTTGCCCTGCTCGTCTGCCGCGCTGTTCTGCCGTGTCGTTCTGCCCGCCCCCGGGCGCTGCCAGCGCCACGAGGGGCGGATGCGCCCCCCCTCCCCCCGGTTTCAGCGCCGGGGCGAGCGTGCGAGCGTCCACGAGGGCAACGAGCATTCACTGCGCGTCAGCACAAGGCAACGCCAAGTTCAAACTCCGATGGGCATAGCAGCACCGCGCCATTCGCACTCAGTTCCGCGAGCCTCTTGGTGGTTTCTTGGGGCCGTTGGTCGGAGGTCGATCCGTGGATCTGGCGCCGCCAGATCCACGGATCCGTACTCCGTGCCAGCGCGCGCCCGAGAGGTGGCCGACGCTGGCAGCGCGGAGCTCGGCGGCCTGACGGGCTCGGGCTCCGACCCGTACCTGCAGTTGGCCGCCCTCCGCGCGGAGGCGTCGGAGCGGCGGGGCCCCGCCGGCGAGGCAGAGCAGCGGCGAGATGCCGGAGCCCTCGGCCTCCCAGAGGAGGCACTCAAGAAATGGGCCTGTCTCCGAGGCTCAGAGGAGTCGTCGTCTCTTTCTCGGCGGAAGGCCGCTGAAGCAGAACGCGGCCGCCTCCTCGGGCGGAAGCCGGCGGAAGTAGAAGTCGGCCTCCCAAGAGATGACGAGGTTCTTGGCTCAGGATGCTTTGAGCCCGCCAGATGGGGTCCCATGTTCGTCGGTTTCCAGCGGCTTCCCAACCTCGGGATGCATTCCAGCAGCCGCGCCTCGCCGAGGACGTTCTGGGGGTCCGTGGATCGTCCCGAGCGGCCACCAGAGGGCCGAGTCGTGGCCCGAAGACAAGGGGGGGTCTCCGCTGCCGCAGCCCTAATTCCAGGCCTCCCAGATGGTGGAGGAGGAGGAGCAGGAAGAGGAGCAGGAAGAGGAGGAGGAAGAGGAGGAGGAGGAGGCGGAGGAGGAGGAGGAGGACGGAGTAGGACGGAGGAGGAGGGAATAGGGAGCACGGAGGGGGAGGAGGAGGAGGAGGAAGGAGGAGGAGGGGAGGAGGAGGACGGAGTACGGGGAGGAGACGGAGGAGGAGGAGGAGGAGGAGGAGGAGAGGAGGAGGAGGAGGAGGAGGAGGGAGGAGGAGGAGGAGGAGGAGAGGGAGGAGGAGGGAGGGAAGGAGGAGGAGGAGGAGGAGGAGGAGGAGGAGGAGGAGGAGAGGGAGGAGGAGGAGGGGAGAGGGAGGAGATGAGGGGGGGAGGAGGAGGAGGAGGGAGAAGGGAGGACGAGGAGGAGGAGGAGGAGGAGGAGGAGCCATATGCTTTCCAGATGTGGTCCGAGTGGATGGTGTCGGAGGATCGCGCCGCATCGCCGATGCATCGGCGATGCGCCTCAATGCGGAGCTTGGTTTTGGCCACGCTGACGGCCGCGATGCATCGCCGACGCATCGCCGGCACATCGGCGATGCATCGGCAGTGCGGCGTGTTTCTCCTGCCCCACTTGCTCGGACCCCACTTGGGAGGCCTCTAGGAGCCCCCGCTGGTGGCCCGGACGGTGCCAGCGCGGAGTGCCGGCGCGGCGGAAGCCCTGCGAAGAGGCAGAGGCGAGCCTGAGCGGCAGGCGGCAGAGCAGGCCACCGCCCAGGATGATTCGGCGGCGCGCGAAGGAGGAGGCGAGATGGGGCAAGCGCCTTCTCAGAGGGCGGCGGGGCCGGTGGGCGCCCGCCAAAACGCTGCCCGAGAAGGAGGGGCGCGTAGCACCATGAGCAGGCCGTGGCCAAGGGAACAGAAGCCCGTTGAAGAATGATCTGGCCGATTCCGGAAGCCCTGAACCCAAAAATGTTGTCATCTCTTGGGGGACCATGTTTTACTTCCGCCGCCTTCCACCGGCCTTCCGCCGGCTTCCGCCAGCAGAGGTGGCCTCGTCTTATTTGCGCCGACCTTCCGCCGCCCTTCCGCCGCCTTCCGCTGAGGAAGAGATGACAACTCCTTCGATCCTCGAAGGCAAGGCCCTTTTTGGGAGCGCCCCATATGGATGGTCCCAGCCACCAATCAACACCGTTTCGGCACCAAGGCTGGGCGGAGGAGCTCCCGACGCGACCTTGGGACGTATTGCCTACCTCCATTCCTCGTCTGTTGCCCTTTCGGCCCAGGCGTTGGTAGAGGTAGATATGTACATGTATGTATGTATATAAACAAAAAATGAAAGCCACTGCTTGCCAGAAGAGAAAGCATCTATCGCCTCCATCTTACGGATCCTTGGTAGAGCTCTCTGACCCTTCCATCTCCGTCACAACGGCACCTCCAGAAGCTGTCTGGGAGGGGGCAAGTGGGGCTTCGCCGTCCGCTGGGCCCGTCTAGGCCTCTGGGAGACCCTTTGGTGTGTTGTGCGGCAGCTTCGGGGAGAGCGAAGTGCTCACTGTCGCGGGGGGCGAAGGCCCATATGTCTCATCAGCCTGGACACCACTGCCCTCGACCGCAGCTCTGGCGATGCACTGGACGACCAGTGGGCGCATCGCGTACCTTTGGGCTCGGCTCCTGCCTCCCAAAGTCGTCGTCCTCCTCCTTCCCCCCCTCCTCCTCCTCCTCCTCCTCCTCCTCCTCCTCCTCCTCCTCCTCATCATCATCATCATCATCATCATCTCATCATCATCATCATCATCATCATCATCATCATCATCCTCGCCCCTCCCCCTCATCCTCATCCTCGCCTCTCCCTCCTCTCCCCCTCCTCCTCCTCTCCTCCCCCCTCCCCTCCCCTCCTCCTCCTCCTCTCCTCCTCCTCCTCCTCTCCTCCTCCTCCTCCTCCTCCTCCCAGAAAGGTCGAACTCGAGCTCGCCGCGGCCGCGCCGCACCCCACCCTGGGCGAGCCCCGACGCTGGCGCGTCACGGTCTGAGGCGGCCTCCTCTGTGCGCTAGAGATCACCTCGCCGCTGGTGCGCGAGTGCGCCACAGTGTTCAGTCGGGTATGTCCTTCTAGAGGAGGAACAGTAAAAACGGTCTGGGGACGATGTTTCTTGCTCTGTTGACTCTTTTTCCTTTATTTGTGGACTGTCTTTCATCTTTCTTCCAAAATCCGCCTGTAGGAGGACATGCCCGACCTCACCAGAGTGCGCCCTCTCGGGTGTCGTGTCTGAGCGGCAGCTGTGACCTCCCCCAGGCCCGCGAGCCGGGCTCCCCCAGGCCCCCCGACGTCGCAATCCTGCCGCAGCCTGGACTTCCGACGGCGCGGGCCCCGCCTCCCCCCCCCCCTCCTGGGGCCGCCTGCCCACCCCGAGTCCTCTCCTGACGGCCCTGGGGGCCCGGGAGAGGGCCTCCCGCCGCGGTTGCTGCCACGACGCGAGGGGGCCTGGGCACACCCGCGCCCCTCGGAGCCGCGCTCCTGCGGGCCGCACGCGGCCCTTCCTGCTCGCTGATGAGCAGGCGTCGCTGCCAATGCCTCCGCGGACGCTGCCCGCTCGAGACAAAGAGGTAGCCTGCCCAGTAGCGGCCGCTGTCGGTTTGGGGCAACAGCTGCTGCTGAGCACCGCGCCCATCTTTTCCGTGCGGTAGGTTCGCGTCGTGTCGACGCGGCGGCCGCCGTGGAGCGGGCGTTCGCTGCTGAACGCCGCCAGTGGCCTGCAGTCGCCCGGTGTCGAACTGTCCTTCGCAATCAGAGGGTTGCGCTCGTTCCAGGTGGAAAAATCCACGCGGTGTCAGAAACCGACGCGCAGGTCGTTGTCGCAGTGCGAGCATATCGGTTCTGAGGCCCTTCCTGCCGCTCTATAGGCATCGTAATGGTTGAGCAGTGATTTGGAGGCACGCTGGAATACCCGAGCGCACGCGCTTGTCGCCGTTGTTCGGCTTCTCAGCTGGACGCGTTAAGGCGAATGTTGTGTGTTTTCCCCGTCTGGTGGGCCCCGAATGTTGGATGTTGATTTTTATTTGTTTCGAGGATGAGCCTGAGGAAGATGGGGCGGCGAGCGAGGGGAGAAACGAGAAGGAGAAGGCCTTCTCAGAAGGCGGCGGAGCTTCTCAGAAGCCCTCGCGCCTTCTGACAGGTTTTCTGCGTTTTCGAAGAAGGCTCATGGAGCTTCTCAGAAGGCCGGGGGACCTCCGAGCCTTCTGAAAAGGCCCACCCCTTCTCACTTCACCCCAGGGCTCGCCGCCTAGTCTCGGAGGAGAGCCGCGTGAGACGACCGCGGTGAGACAACGGCGGCCCAAATCCGCTCAAAGTCCTGCCCCTGACCCCTCCCTGGGTCCAAACGCACCAGTTTTTCCGAGCTGCGTCCAGCCGTGTCGCCGATGGGCCCCCTTCAGGGTCAAAAAGGCAACCTTTGCCTCAACGCGCCTTCCTCCGAGAGTCACGCCACGAGCCTGCCGTACCCATCTCGGGCGTGCCGCGCCAGAGCGCCGGCGCTCCCCGACGGCTTCGGCTCCCGCGGCGGCGCCTGCGGCAGGCAGGCAGGCAGGCCGAGCGAGCACCCGCGCTGGGGCCCTCGGGCTCGGCGGCCCCGCCTCGCCGCCGCCGCAGCGCCGCGGGACGCGCGGCGCGCAGAAAGTCGGCCACGCGCCGAGGGGGTTAGGGAGAGGGGGCATGTCCTCTTCCTCCTCCTCCTCCTCCTCCTCCTCCTCCTCCTCCTCCTCCTCCTCCTCCTCCTCTTCCTCCTCCTCCTCCTCCTCCTCGTCCTCGTCCTCCTCCTCCTCATCCTCCTCCTCCTCCTCGTCCTCCTCCTCCTCCTCGTCCTCCTCCTCCGCCCCGCCCGAATCCCTTTTCTCCCGGAGCTTGTGCGTACATTTCCTGTCGTTTGCCGCTGCCATTGACGATCAAGCTCGGGCGAGTCAGGGGCCACACGGTGCTCACAGCCCCAGACTCGGACCGTCTCGCCGAGCTGCGTCCAGGAGAGAACAAGTGCTAGACACCCATAGTATCCGCCAATTGTACCTTCGATATCACCGCCCACGGGCTGGGCTTCTAGCCCGACACGTGTGTGCACGCTATCCATACGTTCATCTCAGACGGCCAAAGTTGTTCGATGTGCATTGGACACTTTACGGTTGCCGACGACACTTACATATTCCTCTTCACGGTACGGTGCAGAGTGTTGTGGCACAAGCTTTACGACGATCGCGCGCAGACATTGGCAATGCAGTCTGCACATATTATCAGAACCCCGTCCTCAGAACCAGAGGTCAGCCTAGGCCAGATGGACTTCCTTCGCCACATTCCCCGACGTCGCCATCCCCTGGATATTGGTGGTACCAGCTCGGTTAGAATCACTCGCCAGATCCCTACAGGGACCCCGACTCCCCGTTTTCCGACCTTCTCCTCGAGATGGGCCGCCAGGCCGATTGTTGGGGCTGCTCTAAACCTACGGTGTCTTGTCGGACGGTGGTTTCCTTCTGTTTCCACTTTGCTTCCCTTCTGCCTGCCGTGTCGTGTGAATGCTGCCGGTGCGAAGGCTGATTTATATTTTGCACGTTTCGAATTCCCTCGCCCAACGCAGTGTGCAGCTGGAGTCGACGCGGCAGAAGCTTCCATACAGAGTTCTACCTCATCCGAACCTTCCAAGTCACCTGAAGGTCGATGTCGAGATGTTGTTGTGCTTACATGGCTGTTGCTCTCAAGTCCGCTGGCGTTATCGACTCTCTCCATGTTGCTACACTACCTCGGTGGCTTACTCTCTCGCACTTGGAAGAAGCCGTTTCTTCGTGGGCAGTTTCTTTTCTCGGCAGTGGCGAACATCATGATTGTGTCAGGTATCTTGCGTCTTCACTGTGCATACCAGCAGGCTCCAATACCATCGCGGGCGCCGAATGTACTTCGACTGCCCCCAGCAGAGTGTTTCGACCTTTGCAAGGACTTGAATTCAGATGACCGCGTAGCCCCGTGGGCCAGAGATGCGTAGGTTTCGTTCATCACACATGGTGCGGCTGAGCTCTCATCAAGCGTCTATGTCCTATTCAATCAGGCTAGCATGTACGTCGGCAATACAAACCTCAGACGGGCAAGGAGTTGGGAACTTGCAGGCCGATTGTCGGGGCATGTCAGGTGCATTATTTGTCCATCCCACGGCGGCGGCAGCCGACCCAGGCACGCGCTTCTTCGCAGGAGCCTCGGTGACCTTACGTTCCTACCCGCGCTTGTCATGCCGAGTGCTTCCGCGGCATACCACAGCGAGACTTTGATGATACGACGTTTCCAACCCCTCTGCAACTAGGCAGACTCCTCGCGGGGCGCCAAGCAGAAAGGGGCCAGAGGAGACCATCGACTACAAGATGTTCGGCTCCATCGCGTTCCTCGCAGACGCCCTCCGCGCTGGAGGCGCACGCGCATACCTCGTGCTCGCGCATCACCATGGCCCCAGTCTGTTCAGCCAGATGCTACCCCACCTCAACGCTCCTCGACACGGCGCGCCCCCCTTGCTGACCCCCTTCCTGGTGCGCTGTCTGACGCGGCCCCAACCCCCCCCCCCTCTCCCACCCGCCCCCCCACACACACACACACACACACACACACACACACACACACACACACACACACACACACACACACACAACACACCACACACCACCACCACCACCACCACCACCACCACCACCACCCACCACCCACCACCCACCACCACCACCAACCACCACCACCACCACCACCCACCACCACCACCACCACCACCCCAACCCCAACCCAACCCCACCCCCAAACCCCCACCCCCACCCCCACCCCCCCCCCCACCCCCAACCCCCACCCCCCCACCCCCACCCCCCCACCCCCCCCCCACCCCCCCACCCCCCCCCCCCCACCCCACCCCACCCACCCCACCCCCCCCCCCCCCACCCCTCCACCCACACACACACACACACACACACACACACTCCACCCCACCCCCCACCCCACCCCCACGCCCCCACCCCACCCCCCATCCCCACCCCCCACGTGGCACGGCAGCGCCAACGTCTTGCCGACACGGGCGAGGTGGGCCCACTATGGCGGCGGGAACGTCAACGGTTTGGCTTGTGTTTGGCGTGGCTCGCCCGACCGCGCCCCCCTCGTTGCACGCCGCGGTGGCCTTCACAGCAGTTGGCTTCCTTTTTGGCGTGGGCCGCGACCTTGGCCCCAGAATTACTCCTGTCGCACAATCCAATCGCAAGTTCCATGCATCCAGGATGATCGATGTCATGCTGAGGCGCGCGCGGCTTCCTTGCATGCGCATCCCAATGATGGGCATTCCATACGAGCTGTAGCGCGGGCGGCATCTGAATTGGTTTCGCTCGGAGGTGGTGCGCTCGGCATCTTCAATCAGATTGGAGGTCTCTCGAAGGTGGATTCGCAGCAGGCTCAGATTCACGTTTGGCCGCCAACCGACATGGATGGCCAAGGTCAATGCTCTGACCTTCTGCCACACTTGCAAGGTGGAAGATCTTCCTCGACCGACGAAGTGTTCGCGCCCTCCTTCTCCCTATGGTCTTCGTTGCCTACGCGGTACGTGGCGTCATCCACGGTGGCCTGCACCTAAGTTACTGGCGGCCCAGCGCACAGCGATTGTCAGTTTTGGGGGCCAGCGAGTCGGGATCCATCGCACTCGGCCACGCCGCGCAATCACCGACTATGCGATGGCCCAAGCTCTCCAGGTACAGCGACGGCGCAAAGGAGGCACCCGACCTCGCGCAGACATTCTAAATCGACAACCTCGGCATCGCCATCCTCCTCCTCGTCGGGGGGGGGGGGCCCGGGCCCGCTGCCGGGTGAGCCGCCACCTGCGCGGGCAAAGCTTGAGCAGGCGATGTCGGTTGCATTGGGCGAGGCAGGTCATGGCGTCGCCATCGGCGATGATAGAAATGCCGATCGCGTCTGGCCCGCGAACGGCCACGACTTGGCTCGCTACTTGCCCCGGGAAATCTCAGAGGACCCAGCGCGGAAGCACCGCCCTGATCTTTCGGGGGAAGATGTTTGCGCGCGGGCGCGGGCAAGGGCACAATCAGCCCTACCTGCATGGCCCCGCTGCCCGTCTCATCCCCCACACCCTGTGACCCCGTCTCGGCCTCCGATCGCGCTCCCGCTTGTAAAGTCCAAGTGTTTCTCAGAGGAAGGTGGCAGGCTTTTTCCAGAAATGTGGCATGCAGCTGCTGCAGACGTGCTATCGATACCGCAGGTCCCCCTGGCATGTATGGGTTCCGCACCTTAGGGCGCGCTGCTTGGGGCTTTCTGAAGTGGTCTGGTGTTGGGTGTGAGCGTTTCGATATCAGGCTCGCCGCTGACGACGTCCGTTGCGTTCGCGCAAGCCCCCTCGCTGCCCCCCTGCATCACGGTTGCCGATGTGGCTGCGCATTCTCTAACGCGAGCGCGGCATCTCGTGATGCGGATCAGGCGCATGAGCAGTGCAGCGCGACGGCCATTGCGTCGGCGTGGGCACTCATGAGGCAGTCCGCCCAATCAGCGGCACCTTCTGAGGTCTGCCTGGCGGGGAAAGGTCGACGCTCGAGGGCCCTCCCATCGGCAAAATCCCTGGCCATGTTTGAGTCGGCTGTTCCGCCAGGCTCCTTTCGCGTAGCGATGTCGGATGTTGCCCTAGCCCTGCGTCTGTCTTTTGCTGGGCATCCCTGGCCAGTGCGTTCGGGATCAGTTTCGAGCTAAAGGGCCTCCGGATTGGTGGTGCACGATCTGGGGTAGCTCTCAGCGCGGTATTGCGTTCTCAGGAGTTCCGGGCGAAACGCGACCTACCCCGCTACGTCCAGGAGGGTTTTCCACAAATACAGCCCCATGTGTCCCACGATGTGGCACTCCGTCGGAACGTCGATGATATCATTGGCTGAAGTACTTCGTTTTGCAGGGCATGCACGGCACACCTCGTGCACGCCACACACGACGCAAAGCTCTCTATTAAGTCAGGTCTCTCGTTCTCCTCGGCTACGTAACTGGATCTAGAAGTGGTTACAGTCGGCTCGGTGATCATCATTATTCCAAAAAAACGACAGTCGTGAATGGTTATGCGACCATACCAAGAAACGGAAGAAGGCGACGGTTCTACCATGCGTTGGCGCTTTACCTCGATCGACTCTCACGTGCTCACCCTATGAGGCGTTCGGCATTTATGGCTTCGCACTGGCTGCTCGAGCTCCCCCTCGAGATGTTTCTCCGCGGTCACCCGCTGCCCCACCTACGTGCTCTAATTCATCGAAGTCCGTGGAGTCTGGAGGTTCAAGAGGCCCTTTGCAATTTCAGGTTGTGGCTCCGACTGCTCAGGCACCCACCCGCACGCCAAGCGATGGGACCCCCACGGAGAGGCAGCAGCGACACCAAGGGCGGCAAGGGCCATGGCGGTGGCAAGGGTTACACGCCGGTCGTTGAAAGTATGTATGTTTGGATTCCCAGATCCCAATCTACTTCAAGCGCCTTCCTACTTCAAGAATCGACACGCATTTGCTGTGTTTTGTTATTCCCTGGGGGGGGCCTGGACCCAGTCAACTTAATCCGCATTCCTACTTCATGTTTTACCTACTTCTTCTGACCGACGTGTACCCCAGAGACGATGGCGATGGATTTGACGACCGTCGCGACTGGGACCTGCGCGCACTATGCTACGAGGCTTGCTGGTCGTTCTCAGGTGTGTACATTGGTGAAGAGTTTTTGTCATATCCAGATGTCAGCTACATGAGTTCCACGACCTCGAGCCCCCCATCATCGATAGTTTCAGCAAATATGTATCGGTCTTCTTTCACGGCGATAGCAGATGTCGCGCAGGCCTGGTGGACCCTACACGTTTCCCGCCGCACCGAGGCCAAGTACATTCACGTGTTCGCGGACGCCGTGGGCTTCCCCTCCAGGATCTACAGTGTTGAGGATGAGGCCGCTGTCCCGGCCTCCGCCAGCCGCGTTGCCGCCGCCGCACTCTCATGGGCGACCCGTTGAGGCAGGAGTTGGAATGAGGTGAGTCGATACCCCTGGCGTGATGTGTGGTCAGGCCTTGGCCTCCACTCTGAATTTTGGAGCCCTCCTCCTCCTCATCCTCCTCCTCCTCTCCCTCCTCCTCCTCCTCCTCCTCCTCCTCCTCCTCCTCCTCCTCCTCCTCCTCCTCCTCCTCCTCCTCCTCCTCCTCCTCCCCCTCCCCCTCTCAAGTTGATGAAACAGAGCTGTAAGTAAGGAACAGGAGTGTCCCTGTTGTCCCCTTCTCTCAGAGTTTGTGCGTGCATGTCCTGTCGCTTGCCTCTGCCACTGACGATCAAGCTCGGGCGAGTCAGGGGCCCACACGGTGCTCACAGCTCCAGATTCGGACCGTCTCACCGAGCTGCGTCCGGGAAAGACAACGTGTCAGACACCCATACCCTCCGCCAATTGTACCCTCTTCCTCATCCTCATCCTCCTCCTCCTCCTCCTCCTTCTTCTCCTCCTCCTCCTCCTCCTCCTCCTCCTCCTCCTCCTCCGTCCTCCGTCATCCTCCTCCTCCTCCTCCTCCTCCTCCTCCTCCTCCTCCTCCTCCTCCTCCTCCTCCTCCTCCTCCTCCTCCTCCCTCCTCCTCCTCCTCCTCCTCCTCCTCCTCCTCCTCCTCCTCTCCTCCTCCTCCTTCCCCTCCTCTCCTCCTCCTCCTCTCCTCCTCCTCCTCCTCCCTCTCCTCCTCCTCCTCCTCCTCCCCTCCTCCTCCCCTCCTCCTCCTCCTCCTCCTCCTCCTCCTCCTCTTCCTCTATTCCAACATCGAGTTCCGAGGTTTTCGGCCGGTGCCGTTGATTTTCGACGGTTCCCCAGCCTCGGCGTGCGTGCCAGCAGCTTCGCCTCGCCGAGAGCGCTCTGGGGGTGCCCGGATCGTCCCGAACGGCCGTCGGGGATCCGAGCTGTGTCCCGAAAGCCAAGCTTGGCCACGCGTAGGGACTGTCGGGCATGTCCCTCTACAGGAATAATATGCAAAAATAGTCAAAAAAAAGTTTGGGGAAGATGTTTCGAGTATTTTCAATTTTCGCCCAAGATCCGCCTGTAGGAGAACATGCCCGACCTAAGCGCAGGGACGGGGGGAAGTTTTCTTAAAGGCACCCCTGCTTCTTAGAAGGCGCGGGCCTTCTCTCCAGATGCAGGGCTGGCGCCTTCGAAGAAGCAGCCTCCTTCTAAGAAGCCTCTTCCCTTACCCGTGATGGCTCGCATCCCTTACCATTCTGTCGATTCGGTTCTGGATCCTGAACGTGGCCCACAGAAGGCCGACCGGCGCATTAGCGCCGCCGTCGTGAAGCTCTCGTCAAGCTCTCTAGCTGACGGAAGGGGTCTGGACCCTTCTCAGGGGGCGAGGAAACAGCAGAATGGTTAGGGAAAAGTCTGCTTACCCCCCCTACACCCTGCGAAATGCTTAAGAAATCATGGGTTAAGAAATTCAGAGTCTCAGAACTTGAATAAAAACCCAAAATTCCCATTCAAACCTTAGGATTTACCTTGAAACATTAAGAATAATCGAGACTCTGGCCGAAAAATTAAGCTTTCTTAAGCATCGCCTAAGGTGTATACCCCTACCCCCGTGCGCGAACCGCCCGGCAAAGCGGCGCGCCTTCCCGGGCCCCCCCTCCCGCGCCGCGAGAGCAGCGCGGTGGACGGCTCCGGGCCACCCTCGGCATCCCGGGGGGCACACGCCAGGCCCCCGGGGAGGCCGTCGAGACTCGAGACCTCCAGGCCCCCAGGGCCCCCAGACTCTCCTCCTCCTCCTCCTCCTCCTCATCCTCCTCCTCCTCCTCCTCCTCCTCCTCCTCCTCCTCCTCCTCCTCCTCCTCCCTCCTCCTCCTCCTCCTCCTCCTCCTCCTCCTCCTCCTCCTCCTCCTCCTCTTCCTAGGGCTCCCAGAGGGAGTCCCAGAGGAGGTCCTCGGCGTCGATGGGGTTGGGCCAGGCCTCCCAAGTGGGCTCCGAGCGGCTGGGGTCGGCGGATCGCGCCGCATCGCCGATGCATCGGCTATGCGGCTCGATATGGGGCCCGGTTTATTCCGCGCCGACATCGTTGATGCGTCGCCGACGTCGCCGGTGCATCGCCGGTGCGTCGGCGAGGTATCGGCGATGTGGCGCGATCCTCCGACCCCATCTACTCGGACCCCAGGTGAAAGGCCTCCAAAAGCTTGTCCTTGGAGGGAAGGGGTCGGGATTTTTTGGGGTCGTTGTTATGAACAAGCTCGCGACCCGGGATGCAAAGCCCGTCCCGACGAAGGGGTCGGGATTGCCCAAGGTCTTTGTTGCGACAAGATCACGACGCCGGGGGTTGGCTCTCGGGCACGGGGCGATGCATGGAGGGGGGAAGGGGCCAGGGAAAGAGGGAGTAGCGAGAGAATACCGAGACGGGTACGATTGGCTGGATAAGGCGGAAGGGTGGTAAGCATGGGGGGTGAAGCCGCAGCGAGCGCGAAAGAGAGATCGGGGAGAAAGAGAGAGAGAGAGAGAGCACATCAAAAAACACTGTGTGTATGGGAGCCCGCCGAAATCTCGGTCGATCGGATTCGATTTGACATGCCGCGGTCGCTGTTTCGGGGGGACGCGCCAGTTTCGGCCAGATTTGGGGCCCTGAAGAAGCCCCAAACCATCGTGTTCCCCGCCTTCCCCCATGCGGACAATGCCGACGTCGAGAATTGGCGCCTACGCAAGCAGATATATAGCCAGAGATGTCTAGTTGTGTGTGCGCATGTGTGTATTTGTATGTATCGCAACTGTACTAAATGTACGCACGATCATGTGTTACTCACAAACGTGCGCATGCACGTAGCGAGAGGGGGGGAGAGAGAGATTTTTAAGCAAAGAGAACAGCGTGAACCCTGGGAGCATAGGGATGGAATATTGGTCAAAGAAGAAAGTAAATAACGTCGTTAGCAAGTACCTCGTAGAGCTCTTCGGCATCGATGAGCTAAGAGGAATTCCGGCGCGGGGTGGAGCTAGTTGATCGACCCGGCCAGAAAGGACAATGTGATAACTTTGGGCCGGTTTTGCTAAGATTTGAAAGAAATTCAACCATTAATTTTCAGAAACCAGATTTTTCGCACCTGTAGTGGGTTGTGCCGCGTCTGCCAGTCAAATTCTCAGGTCCGTAGCTGCAGTACTACTATCAAAACACTTGGGGGAACCGACGTTAGATAAAAACAGAAAAACGTGATTTTTCGAGTTTTTCAGGTCTTGCTCCAAACGCTTTCTTCATGTCTACCGAGGAGCGCCGTGCGAGAAAAGAGCTCTACGAGGGCCCCGGCGGTAACCTGGTTGACGGTTTACCGCCGGTTCCCATTCCGGCGCACTGGAGAGCTAGTTGGCAAGAAAAATCTCGACGGACCTTTTGGTGACTTTTGGTCGGTTGAAAATTTTGTTCTCGAAATTCAACCATTCATTTGAGCTCTAATATTTTTTCCCGTGATATTCGATCTTATTCCCGCTCGTCGTCTTGATCTCAGCTCGATCGGGTACCTTTTACTCCCAAAAAGCGTCCAGGCGGGATCGGCCGTTTCGAGTCATCTTGATACGCGCTGTCGGCATTTTGTATTTTACTCGAGCTATAGGACAGCTACAGAGCTCATACTCACAGCAATCGATTCAGAATAATCAGGCGCGTTCGTCTGTTGAATCCAGAGCTCGAAACTCGGTCTCCTGCCCGAGCTAGGTCCGCGAAACTATTCGTATTGTTCGAGTCATCTTGAGAGGTGCTGTCGGTTTTCTGCACTAAACTCGGGCTGTAGGGGGGCTACAGGACTTGTAAGCAGAGGAATCGATTTGGAGACATCAGGCGCGTCCAGCTGTCGCACTCAGATGTCTGAACTCGGTTTGATACTCGAGCTAGGTTCGCGAAACTATTCATATTGTTCGATTCGTCTTGGGAGTTGCTGTCGATTTTCGCACGTAACTCGGGTTGTAGGAGAGCTACAGAGCTCGTGCGCACAGAAAACGATCCAAAAACATCAGAGGCGTTCGGCTGTTGCATCGAGAGGTCTGAAATCGCTCGGGCTGAAAAACTGTTCGTTCTCTGCAATTTTATTTCGACATTACTTATGGTCAGGAAGCTCTACGAGTCCCCCGGCGGTAAGAAAGGTTGACGGTTTACCGCCGGCGCCCAGTTCGCCGACCCGACCAGAAAGGACAATGTGATAATGTTTGGGTGGTTTTGCGAAAATTTGAAAAATATTTGACCATTCATTTTAAGAAACCAGATTTTCGCACCTGTTGACGACTATGAGGGCCTCTGCGTCTTGATATGAGCTCTCTAGGCGCACTTTTACTATCAAAACACTTGGGGGAACCAACTTCATGTCGACATCAAAATCATGAATTTGATTTCTCCGAGAAATGATTTCAGAAGCTCTATTCTGAGCACTCTTATGCGTGAAAAGAGCTCTACGAGGTTCCCGGCGGTGACCAGGTTGACGGTTCACCGCCGGCGCCAATAAGCAACGAAAGACGAAATGGACGGAGGGAGGGAGCGGTGAGGTTGAGGATAACACGAGCAACACTAGCAATGAGAAGAAGAAGCAGATGTGCCGAGCAGGGATCTCATCCACGAGTCGCCGAGGCGCATCTAGAGCTTAACGAGACAATGCAGCATCAGCAATCGAGTTGCGGCCAGGCGGTAGCAGGCCCATCGAAGAGGTGTGCTTGGATCGTTGCGCCGTGTGGCCAAACATCTGCGAAGTGCCGCGGGGAGGGCGCAGAGCGTGGTGCATGACCCGAGCGGAGGAAGGGCGACGTTTCTCCCTACCTAGGCTCTGCCTAGAAGGGTTCTTACTCTCTTAGCTTAAAGGGGCCGGGCAGTGGAAAACGCCCCGGGCGGTTCCCCCGGCATCCGCCCCGCGGTTCCCCTAGTTACGTCCCATTAGCTTAGCGTTGCTTATCTCACCTTAGCTTAGCCTAACTTAGCTTAGCTTAGCCTAGCCTAGCCTAGCCTAGCTTAGCTTAGCTTAGTTTAGCCTAGCCTAGCCTAGCTTAGCTTAGCTTAGCCTAGCCTACCCTAGCCTAGCCGAGCCTAGCCTAGCTTAGCTTAGCTTAGCTTAGCTTAGCCTAGCCTAGCTTAGCTTAGCTTAGCTCAGCTCAGCTTAGCTTAGCGCAGCGCAGCGCAGCGTTGGCATAGCATAGCATAGCATAACATAGCATAGCATAGCATAGCGCAGCATAGCATAGCCTAGCCTAGCATAGCATAGCATAGCATGGCGTAGCACAACATAGCATAGCATAGCATAGCGTAGCATAGCGCAGCATAACATAGCATAGCATAGCATAGCGTAGCATAGCGCAGCATAGCATAGCATGGCATAGCATAGCGCAGCATAACATAGCATAACCTAGCGCAGCATAGCAAAGCATAGCATAGCGCAGCATAGCATAGCATAGCATAGCATAGCATAGCGCAGCATAGCATGGCATATCATAGCATAGCGGAGCATCGCAAAGCATAGCATAGCATAGGGCAGCATAGCATGGCATAGCATAGCCTAGCATAACACAGCGCAACCGAGCGTACCCTAGCATAGCATAGCATAGCATAGCGCAGCATAGCGCGGCATAGCAAAGCATAGCATAGCATAGCATAGCGCGGCAGAGCATAGCATAGCATAGCAGCAAAGTAAATGCAAAGCAACAGCAGCAACAGCAAAGCAAAGCACAAGCAACGCAAAGCCGGACCTGCAGTGCTGAACAGCCTGCAGCTCTTGCAGGAGCCACGAGCAGTGCTGAACAGCCTGCAGCTCTTGCAAGCAGTGCTGAACAGCCTGCAGCTCTTGCAAGCAGTGCTGAAAGCAAAAACAAAAGCAAAGCAAAAGCAACAGCAAAGGCAAAAGCAAAAGCAAAGGCAAGGCAATGAAAAGCAAAAGCAAAATCAGTGCGAAAGTGTAGATGTGGATGTAGATGTAGGTGTAGGTGTAGATGTGGATGTAGGTGTAGGTGTAGATGTAGATGTAGATGTAGATGTAGATGTAGATGTAGGTGTAGGTGTAGGTGTAGATGTAGGTGTATATGTAGATGTAGATGTGAGTCTCGCTGTTGATGCTGATGTAGATGTAGATGCAGGTGTAGATGTTAATGTAGCTGTCGGTGTAGATGTAGATGTTGCTTTCCTGGATGCTCCAACTCCTAGGTAGGGTCGCACTGGGATAATTCTCAGCGTTGCACATACTCCCGATCAGGGTCGGGTGTTGTCCATCGTGTCACCACAGTCCCAGCCACGCTGGCCCTTCGAGTACTTGTCGTAGCAAGGGCGATAAGCTGGGAGTAGATGAAGAGAGAGAGAGAGAGAGAAAGAGAGAGAGATTGAGAGAGAGGCAGGGCGAGAAGGAGGACCGCGCTCGCCAGGATATCTGGCAACGCGCTGTGCGGCGTTCGCGTTTACACCGCCGCGACGCACACCGAGGACGCTCTCTCGGGGTCCAGCATGGATGCTCCGTGGCGGGAGATCTTGGTTTCGAGTTGCTTGTGTGTTTGAGGGTGCTCTTGAACAGATGATTTGTATGAAGGTCACTTTGCAGGGACTCAAGAATCTGCCCCCGCGTGCCTGGGTGGTGGTGGGTGCACGTAGGTTCGCACTTAGAGGGTCCCAGCCGCAGTTGTCCATGGTTGCCCGGGCTCAAGCGGTTACCCAGAGGATCCCACCAATATTGCCCAGGCCTTGGTAGCTCCTGTGAGTCAGGTTTGCGGGGACTGCTAACCACCTCGATACTCGATACCACTGTGTGCCTGGGTTGCGGTGCCGTGACCGTATCGGAAATGTTTGCTCACCGTGTCGCGCCGCCGGTTCTGGCCCACCACGCTTCGGCGCGACACGCTGAGCACGTCCCAGTCCCCAAGAGTCAACGCCCCGAGCTTCTGTCAGCCTCCCGCGCCACGCACAGCGGAGCGACACGCTATCATCTCGCAGGGGATAGCGTGTCGCCAGGGCCGCCGCCGCGACACTCTAAGCAGGCACCCGGCCGCTCCAATTTTTTGGATGCGCGAGCCTCGGAGGTCTGGATCAATTCCTTAGGGCTGGCTTTTCGTCCTGTATCGTTGTTTGACGGTCCCGAGGCCCGGCGAGGGCCCGTGGAGGCCGAAAACGACAAAAAATCGACCGCCCCTGTGTTTTCGGATCATCGGATCTTTGGGTCCGCCACCTCATCTTCGACCGGCGGCAGGTTTTGTCGTCAGTGTAACGTGTCCTTCCTTGGTGGGAAACGGGTCCGATCGGCCATTCCGATTGCCTCGCAACGAGAACTCTTTGGTTTGAGCCCCGCGAGGAGCAGGAGGAGCAGGAGCAGGAGGAAAAGGGGAAGGAGGGAGAAGGAGGAGGAGGAGGAGGAGGGGGACCAGTATAAATTCGAGGCCCATCAACCATGTTGGAATACAACCTCCCTCCAAGCTCCCTCATCATAGGCCACTACAATGGTTCATTACCACTGAGGGAATTGCCCCGTAGGGGGACAACTATGTCAAAAACATGAAGCGTGCCAGAACACCATTTTTCAGGAGTCCAACGCCACGAGTGAACATGGCCTGCACGTCTTGGCGGTCGTGAGTCGTGCCAGAACACCATTCCTGGGACTTCAGCATTGTGAATCAGCTTAACTGTTGCGCCCTCTGACAATCCTGAATCGCTCCAAAACACCATTTCTGGTACGGCAGCCATGAGAATCAATGAAACTCTTGCGACTGCTTGATACGCATGTGCGCGGCGCTGAAGCGAGAACAACATTTTGAAAACGAAACGCATTCAATATGTGAAACCTTTTGCACATGTTTTAAACGAATGCGCGCGGCGCAAAGGCGAGAGCCACATTTAGAAAACGAAACGCATCCAATCCGTGAAACTCTTGCTACGTGTTAGAACGAATGTGCGCGGCGCTGAGGCGAAAGCCACATTTTCAAAACGTCCCGCCCTCAACACGTGAAACTCTTGCACTCTTGCAATTATTTAGAACGAATGTGCGCGGAGCAAAGGCAAGAGCCACATGCTGCAAACCACCCGCCCTCATCCGTGGAACTCTTGCAAATGTTTAAAACGAGTGCGCGCGGCGCTTAAGCGACAGCCACATGTTGGATGCAGCCCGCCCTCCATCTGTGAAGCCGTTGCCAATTTATAAGCTTCAGGACCCAAAAATACCAGGAAGTGTCAAGCGAAACGCCTGGCCTGCCCTTTCGACCGGCTTCGGAGTGTGGCAGGGAGGAGTTATTCATAAGGGAAAGGAGGAGGACGAGGAGGAGGAGGAAGAGTAGGAGGAGGAGGAGGAGGAGGAGGAGGAGGAGGAGGGGAGAGGGAGAAGAAGGAGCAGGAGAAGCGAGGAGAAGGAGGAGGAGGAGCAGAAGGAGGAGGAGGAGGAGGAGGAGGAGGAGGAGAGGAGGAGGAGAAGGAGGAGGAGGGGGGTCGGGGGGCAGGAGGAGCGAGGAGGAGGAGGAGGAGGAGGAGCGAGGAGCGAGGAGGAGGAGGAGGAGGAGGAGGAGGAGGAGGAGGAGGGGAGGAGGAGGAGGGAGGAGCGAGTAGGAGGAGCAGCAGAAAGACTGACCAGGGCCTCGCGGCCTCTGCGACGTCCTCCCGCGGCGCGCGGGAGCTGGCCCTGCGGAGGGCGGGCGAGGCCGCGCAGGCGCCGCGGCCCCCCGCGCCGCTTCAGAGGTCCGCGTGGGCCTTCGGAGTTGTGCACATATCGTAGTTGTGAACATCGCCTTCGGCGAAGCAGGTGTGAATTTGCAGTTGTGAACACAGCACTTGTGAGCAGCGTCCTCGGCTCAGCTCCCTGTGGGGCCACGAGCGTGTGAGGGCCTTCGGCACTGTGAACAGCGTAGTTGTGAAAATCTCGAGGAAGCAGAAGCGCCATGAGCCATCTTCGAAAATGAGCGGGGCAATGGCAGGGAAGTGTGCATCACAATGTCTGTGCTGTAGAAGCGTGCGTCCAGACCTTGTGGACTTGCGGTGCACATGCAATTATGTAATTGAGGCCAGCACTCAACGACAATGTGCAAGTCGTGTCTAGCGGCGTCTCTGCTACAGGAGTTTCGTTAAGGTTACCGCTCGCCAGCGCCATCGATCCGTATGGTCGCAAATCGCTGGACCTCTACGGAGGGGTGTGAAGACAGTGAGGGACGTCCTTGGATTTCAGGGCGCTTCTGTTTGAGAGATCACCCAGACGCCTTCTGGGGAGCATCCTAGGTCTGATGAATTCTTAGAGACCTTGACTCGGTTTGCACGTCCCGCTTCCCCCGGGGAAGTGCCGTTCCAAACGGGGTGCCCGCCGCCAGCGCGTCCATGGCAACGCCCTCGCCAACAACGGCGAGGACCAGTGTTGTTTCACGCCGCGGTTCGCCGACACGGAGGACCTCTTTTCGCCAGCCCTTGCTCCGTTGTGTCGCTACAGCGTTTCCCGTGCGCATCGATTGCAGGGCTTTGCCGCTTGCTCGCGCTCCCGTTTCGCTCGCCCGTGGCGCCCCACCAGAGCCGTGAAGATGTGGAGCGGAAGATCTGTTCAGGGGGCGTATCCCGACACGCCTTGTTCCTGCCAGAGCTGGCACGCGGAGATGGCCCGTCCAGACAGAATTGGCAAGTGGGAATTGGCAAGTGGGGAATGTACGCCGACGCCCACGCTCACGTCGCCGCCGACGACGACGACGACGACAACGACGACGACGACGACGCCAACGACGACGACGCCGCCGCCGCCGCCGACGCTGGATTTTCCGCGGCTGGCGCGCCCAGGTGGCCCAGGGTGCAAGAACGCGTTGCGTGCAGTCGGTTCACGGTCCCTCTTCCCTGTCTTGCCCCCCTCCGGTACATGGACATTCTATTCGAACCCTGTGGCCCAAGATGCCCCCCAGACCCCCCGAAATTAATATTGATGGCTTGGCGACGGGAGGGGCGTGAGTGGACAGAAATATTTGAACCCCAAAGCACCAACTTTACTGAGGTCAACATTGATGTCGGGGGCGCGGGGGTGACTTAGAATCTCCGTCGAAAGTGTAAGGGTTCGAATATATTGTCCAGATGCTGTCCATGGCAAGGTTTTTGTAGTTTTGCATATTGCTCAAAGCGACCCCTGATAAATCCAAGATCCCATGACGTGGGGGAGAAGGTGGAGGAGGAAGCGAAGGATGAGGAGGATAATGATCAGGGTGAGGAGGAAGAAGAGGATGGGGGTGAGGATGAGGATGCCGAAGAGTAGGAACAGTGGGGAGAGACAGGAAGAATGAGAAGGATGAGGATGGGAGGTGGTGGGGAGGAGGATCAAGCGGTGGAGCGTGGAGGATTTCGAAGCAGGTGCGGGAGGAGTGAATCAGAGGAGGCAAGGACGAGGAGGCGATGGGAGGGGAATGGAGGGCATGGGGAGGAGGGGAGGGGAGGGGAAGGGACAAGAGGAACGGGGAGGAGAGGGAGGAGGGGATCGGAGGGGGCCGGAAGAGAGATGGAAGGAGACGGTCCTGTGGAGGGCTGCTTTGGGCCGTCCTGAGGTCTCGGAGGCCCCATGGATCCCCGGAGCTGCGGGAAGTTAGATTTTGCCTGCCCAGGGTTAAATGTTGCTGTCGTCCTACCGTCCACAACAGACATTGGGTGCATTATCGAAAGCTGGAGACGGTCTTGTGGAGGGCTGCCTTGAGCCATCCTGAGGCCTCCGAGGCCCCATCGCTGCGAGCAGGTCGGTTTATTCCTACCCAGGGTGATGTTGTCAGCGCATACACATGATTGCGATTTCTTCTTCGCACATGCGGTTCACTCGTTCGCCGTCCTTTGGTCCTGGGTTACCACACCCCCTTCACCGTCGCCACGGCAGATGGATAGGCGTTCGCTCGTGATATTGATGGGGGCGTTGTCTGGTAGGCTTTCAGGAAAGCAGCTGGCGAGGCAGCCAACGAAGCAGTCTACGAGGCACCCAGCGAGGCGGCGAACGAGGCCTCCGACGAGGCAGCCCGCGGGGCAGCCAAAAAAACAGCCGTCGAGGCAACCAGCGAGGCAGCCAGCGAGACGGCCAACGAGGTAGCCCACGAGGCAGCCAACGAGGTAGCCCACGAGGCAGCCAGCCAGACAGCGAGGCGGCCGACAGGGCAGCCAGCAATGCAACCAACGAGGCCACTGACACAGCACCCAGCAAGGCAACCAACGAGAAGGCCAACGAGGGTGCCGACTAGACAGCCAACAAGACAGCCAACGAGGCAGCCATCGAGGCAGACAGCAAGACAGCCAACAGGCAGCCGAGCAGGCAAGGCAGGCCACCAGGAACCAGGCAGCCAACGATACTGCCAGAGGGCAGCCGACGAAGCAGCAGCGAGGGGGAATCCCAAAATGGATCCCCTTTGCGCACCTGTGCGCGCATGTCGCGCAGATCTTGGCCATTTTCACGGACAGAAGCCATTCGAACCCATGGCGCTACTGATGGAAAAGGGCATCCGAGATACAGGATGCCCTCATTCAATGGACTGCATCCATTTTCAGGATGCCCCCGTTGGAAGGATGGCCGCAGCGCTGTCTGGATCGAAAGCATTTCGCCCGTCGTTGTCTCCACGCCCGGGGAATGTCGCTGAGATCCTTCACTCATGTATCTCCCGACGGGCACGTCGCAATGCGCCGCTTGTATGACGGTGGCATGGGCGTCAAGAGGATCGCCGCGGCCTTGGACCGCTCCACGGACACCGTCTCGAAGCACCTGCTCAAGAAGAGTGCGACCAAGATGTCCATGGGCCGCCCGAAGCAGTCCATCCGCACCCCCAAAAGATTTCTCGCTGCTCAGCGCGCTTACAAGAAGCTTCTCAAGTCCTCTGGCGGCACGAAAGAAGTGACGGCAGCCATGCTGAAGTCCGAGATGAAGTTGAAATGCGACATCATTCACAGTGCGCCGCGCATTTGCTGAGAATGGCTATCAGTTCCGCCCGCTGCACGAGAAACCTGACCTTTCGGACGGGGACAAGAAGGGGCGCCTGCTGTGGGCCCGCGAGCACAGGCACTGGAGCCCCAGCCAGTGGTCGCAGTACGTCCACGCGCGCATGGACAACAAGGTGTTCCAGGTGCTGCCCAATGCGAAGCACAGGAAGGTGGCGGCGAAGCGCAAGGTTCGCGGGGCGCACAGGAAGCGCAAGCGGGACTTCTCCGCGGGCCACGTCAAGCCGAGCAACCCTAGGGTTCTTAGGCCGGCGCAAGTCGGAGACCGCGCCGAGGCCGCTCAGCGCCCGACCCGCGGCCAACGGCGCGCTCTGGTTTGGCTTGCCACCAGGTTCTGAAGCAGAGTTCGGGCAAGAACTCCGTGACCATCGCGCGCGCCCTCGGCGCGGGCAAGGCGTTGATGCGGCACCAGGTGGTCGGCAGGTGGAGCGCCGCAGCCGCGAGGCGAATGCACACGGGGGCGCTCCAGCCCGCTTTGAAGAGGGCATACCCTTCCGCGCGCGGTAAGTTCAGCGCCATGGAAGACAACGACCCCACGGGCTACAAATCTCGCTCGGGCATGGCGGCGAGGAAGTCCGCTGGCACCCAGACGTTGGACTTGCCGAAGCGGCCCCCTGATCTGATGCCGCTAGATTTCGCCCCCCGGGCCCATCTGAACAAGCGCATGAGACGGCAGGAGAAGGACTGGCCCGCGAACAAGACGGAGACGCGGGCGCAGCACCTGGCCCAGCTGCGCCGCACGGCGTCGGCATTGCCTTCTGCGCGCATCCACGGCGCCAGGGGCAGCCTGCACATATGCCGCGGCTTGCTGGTCGAGGCGAAGGGCGGCCACCTCGCCGAGGCTGCGGGAACTGAGCGCGCGCGCGCGCGGCGTCCTCCGGCGGCCGCGGCGCGACTCGCGGCGGGCCGGGGCGGCGGGCGACCGCGGCGCAGCCCGCAGCGGGCCGGGGCGGCGGGCGGCCCGCAGCGGCCCGCGCCTCGGCTGACACGCGCGAGCGACGCAGGGCGCGGGAAGGGAGCCAGTCGCGGTCTACGATCAAGACCAATCCGTGCGTCTACCGCCACCGCGGCCACAGCGCCAGCAGACGTAATCGAAAGTGGCTTATCTTCGCGTTCTGATTATGTCCGCCGAGGCCCCCCAGGCGCCAGCGCCCCGGCGACCCAGAGAGCCCCGCGCACGAGACATGCAACATAAACATAGTGAACCAACAGTGAACCTTCGTAAAAACCATAGTGAACCTCGAATTCGATCAAGAAGAATATGGAGCTTCTCTTTTATGGAAACCGATGTTCACTATGTAATTTGCCATGGTTCACTGCTGGTTCACTGATGGTTCACTGTAGGTTCAGTGTGGTAGTTTTGTTTACGCATGTTTGCACATGTCCAGCCAATGCCGCGCGGGCGGCACCCATGACCAAAATCCGCCGACCCCGCCCAGAGGTGCAGGGGGTGCGCCGCGGGCGCCAGGCGCGCCAAGCGCGCCGCGTGCGACTGGTGCGCGGCGCGCGACAGGTGGCCAGATAAATGAGGCGCGACAGGCGCGCGCGGCGCGCGCCAGGTGAATGAGGCGCGCCCAAGCGCGACAAGTGCGCAGATGACGCCAGTTGAGGCAAGCTCCCCAATTGAGCGGCCAGGCGGTCGTTTACGATGCCCCCAAAGACCCCGACGGTCCGCGTTGCGTTATTCTCTGTAGCATGTCGGCTCAGCGTGGCGGGGGCTGGCCCTGGCCGGGTCGCGCCCGGGGACGGCGCTTTCGGTGGACAGGCCAGAGTAGCGCCGCAGGCTCGTCGGGAAGCAGAGCCAGCAGACGGCGCTCCTCGAGCAGGTCGTCGGCGAGGAGAACAGGAACGCCTCGCGGGAGGTGCGCTCAGCGACCCTGCCGCGCACGGACAAGGAGGGCCTCGAAACGCCAGCGGCTTTCGCCGACCCCGCGCGGCTCGCCAGCCACCGCGGGCAGGGGGTCGCGCCCGTCGGGGCCAAGAAGTTGGTGGTATGCAAAGAATACCACGCGCCAGTGGCAGGCGTCCGGCGGGCGCACTGCCGCGTGGCCTTGCACTTAGGCAAGAAGAGCAAGTGCTTGACCGTGAAGCGGGCCTTGCTGAAAAAGGTGCCAACTCGCCTCTCACTGGTCCTGCAGCCACGACGGGCACTGGTCGGCGGTCGGCTACTGCGCGAACGCGAGGCCCAAGAAGCCGCGGAGCGCCCTGGACGTTGACTACCTGGCTTGGCCCACGGAGCACCAGCCGCTGACCGCGGCCTGCGATTTGGAGAGGCGCACCGCGCGGGAGCAGGTCTAGTGCGAGAAGGGGAAGCCAGAACCTTACGTCGAGGAAGTGGACCTGTGGCCGATTGCGGTCAGGTCCGGGATCCGGAATTCTCCGGACGACCCCCACGCAGCGCGCAAGTTGACGGCGTGCGCTAGGACGTCTTGCTCGCACAAGGTGGTTG